GGGGGGCTCAGAGCCGCGGCCGGGACGAGCGCAGGAAGCCGCGCAGCGCCGAGCCGCGGGAAGCGCAGCCTGCGCACAAGACCAGCGGAGCCCCGGAAAAACCCCAGGGAAGGCTGCCTCGATTTCTTGTTAGCTTTCGTTTCCCTTCAGACCTGGGGGTCTGACACCGCCGAGGTGACTCCAAGACCTACCTGTGTTTTGCCCACCATTGCTTCATACGACGTGTTTTGTTTGCAACTGATGAAAAATGTTTAAACAAAATTTCATCCGATTACGTTGCCATTCTCCGACCTGTTCCCGACGTCAAACCAGTTTCTTAAAACTGCAATCACTCACACGCGGCACTGTCCTGCCGCCCTCCAAGCCTGTTTGAGGACAGGACAAAATCCAAAATTATTTCCTGGGTGTGTTGGAGTTGGTGCACGGATTTCTGAGCACGCCTGAATATTTTATTGATTGACTTAATGTAAAAAAATGTCCCGTCCGGGATTCTCATGTCCGTCCGTACCTTGATGCAGCCATGTGAACTCAGAAGTACAAACGTGTTTTGTAGCGAGATAAAAGAAGGCAGCGGGCAGCAGTAACAGGAGAGAGGCGATGTCTGCCAACGAAAGATCGGCAACATGTGGCCCAACCACATTCCCACCCAACAGTTTTCCCCCGGACAGCGCAGAACAAGTGGAAAGCCAGGCCCACCCCTGCAGAAGGGGAGCAGCCGGGGGTCGCTAAAGGGCTCGGGGCTGCGGGGGGCGGCGGTGCCTGGATTCATTCTCCGGGCAGCTTCCCCAGCCAGCAACCACCAGGGACGTTTTGGAAGCGCTTTTGTCCCAGTTTACAGAGGACAGGCACCTGAGAGCCGCTCGGTAGACGGCGAGGACGGAGGGGGCGCGGGCGGGGGTCACCGAGCCCCCCGCGCCCCCTTCTGTGGGGGTGCTGAGCTGCCACCCGCGGAAAATGAGAGTGATGCCTACAGATCCTGCGGGGTTTTGTTCTCCCGCGTGGAGGAATGGCTCCGTGCAAAACGCACGTCCCGTGGCTCTTGCCTCTTTCTACACCACGCAGCACCTTCGCTGCGGGATGGGTCAGCTCCGGCGGGGAGGCACAGCTCTCTCCTCCCCTTCTCCTTGGGGCTTGTGATGGTCTCTGGAGGCTTTGCTGTCCTCTCCGTGCCCTCCCTCCTCCGAGCACTGTGTGCACCTCCTTGACAGGGCCTGGGGGTGTCTCTGCCCCTCCACCTGCCTCAGTCCCACTTGTCCATGGTCTGGCTTTCCCAGATGTCCAGACCCCTCTCTGACACCATCCCGCGTTGCCCCCATTCCAAGACGCCCTTTGCTCTCCAAACTGCCCCCGTCGCTCCCGCGGGGATTTCTCTCCTCCACCGCATGGCAGGGGCTGAGGGCAAGGCAGGACAACAACAGCCTGCGACAGCCTCTGCGACAGCCGTGCCACGTCCGTGAGGCTCTAAACCCCACCACATAGGACCCACACCTTCCCCACAGCGGCTCGAGAAATCCTTCCACCCGACTTGCTCCTCGGGAAGGGTCTCGTTTTTTTTTTTTTTTTCTACTTATAAAATGCGCTGCAGCGGGAATGTCCCTCTGTCCTAACAGCTCCTCAGTAGCTGCCTCCTCTCGTGGAGGGAGAGGGCTTTAGCTCCCTTCCAAAAAAAATCATTAACAATCTGCAGCTTCAAAGACAGGCTGTAGGGGTGTCCCGTTTTATTTGGCTGATTTCTTCCTACAGTGGGAGAGCGGAGGAAGCTGGAGACCGGCAAGGCACTCAATCACACCGAGGCCCTCCAGAAGGCCTTCATGGAGGACGGGCCTTCCCTGCAGCCGGCGGGGGGGCACGGGAGCTGCCCACGCCGAGGTGAGCCCCCCGAGCCCCGAGCGAGGCCGCCCTGGGACCGGAGCCCGGCCGGAGGGGCGAGCTGATGCCGCCTACGGGAGGGGCTCCGGGGATAACCCCCCGAGTGCTCGGCCGAGCCCCCCAGCCCTGAGCCCTCCGCCTTCCGGGCCCCGGGGTGCCAAAAGCGGGGAGAGGGTCACTTCCAGCGACCTCGGGGCTCCCCTGCGTGGGAGCGGGGCTGCCCACCCTGGCTCTGCCCAAATGGGGGCCGGGGGCTCCCGGTAGCCGGGGCCTGGCTCGCTCCCTCTCTTCTGCACGGGGAAGCAGGGGCCGGGGCGGGAAAGCCGCGTCTCAGCTCTCCCCGGTCGGGGTCTCCTTCCATCCCCCCACATCGCTTTGCACCGCCAGGGCACCCCACGGAGCGCCCACCTCGGGGCAAGCCCCCTGCCCCGCCACGCGTGCTCTGCCCGGGGCGCCCCCCCCCCCCCACGGCCCCGCGCCCCCCCGCCCTCCTCTCCCTGCCTCCTTTCCCCTTCAATTCTTCGATTATTTCCTACCTGAAAAAAAAATTAATCTTTTTGCCAGGCAGGTCACCAGCGATCAACAGGCTGTTGTATATTACAATGTTTTCATATTCCTCTCGGCTCCCCCTGCCCTCTACCGACTCACTGTAGATGTGACCTTTGGTATTTCAGCCCACACTCAGCAGTTGAATGGAAACAAGTTGAGCACGTTCACTTCTGATAAACATTATCCTTAAACCACTGGAGACCCGACCAGAGTAAACGAGCTTTTCCGACAGGACCACATCAGGAACACACATTGAGAAAGGGAAAGAAACCAAATAGCCAGGAGATCAGAGGCGGGGTGGAAGGGTGGGAGAGGGAAGGAGGGGGAACAGACAGGTTGGAGGACACCCCGCGGGAGGGGGGGGGGAGAGAAAAGGACGCAGTTGTGAACACAATAGTCACAGATGGAGAGAGAAACTGCCCTGGCAGCGTGAGAGAGCAGCGCAGGGTCACGTCCGAGCATCACAGCGACCCTGGGGGAGAGCTCCGGGGGCGCCGAGCGGCTCCTCCAGCCCCGGACTGGCAGGGCCGGGCTTGCACCAGCCGTGCTCCCGGAGCTCATCCCCGGCCACAGGTCGCTTAGACCGGGCTGGAGCGGCGGCAAGGCAGGGGCCGTGCACTGGGGAGCCCGCGGGGCCGGGGCCGGGGCCGGTGCAGCGGGAGCTGGGCACGGCTCGGCCGGGCGGGGAGCGGCGGCTGCGGGGAGGGCAGGCATGCCGGGCTCCGCTCCGTGTCGGCGAGAAGCATGCTCCCGGAGCAGGTCGGCAGTTTGATGAACACACGCTCCCCTCCTTTGTTTAATTGCAGAATGAACTGAATTAGCTGCTGGATCCGGCTCTCACTAATTCAATACCTCCTGCCTTCAAAATATCCGAATGGGATACTTTTATAGGATGTGCGAATAGGGCAGCTCACGACGCCGAGGACTTGCTGAGAAGGCTTCAGCAAATGCCTGCGACTATCGCCTGCGAGCACTGCTTTCTAACGATGGCATTTGCGCGCATGTGTCTGTGCGGGGGGAAACCCTTTGCTAGAGGTGATTTGATTTAGGTTTCGGAAGCACCGCAATTTACAAGTGTGATATGCTGTATTTGTAGCTCACGTTTCAGAAATAAACACAATTACTAGAGAAAACGGTTGGTTTTGAACTTCTGCGGAGTATGCAGAGGTATCCGCCGATATTGCGATCAATTAGATAAATGCTGAGGAACCCCTACCGCCTTCTTTCCACCCAAAAGTACCTGCAACGTGCCATTAATTTCTGGATGATCTCCTGTAACATCCTCACTATTCCTCATTGGGCACTTTCACTGTGATATGAATCTGAAATCTAGCTCAATTAATTAGATTTTAACAAAACATCTCTTACAAATATTTCACTTAATATTTATACAGTGTTCATACACACCAGCGACATCAAAACCATATTTAACTCGCTGTTTTTTCGTGCGCCGCGGTGACCGTATTATTTCTTTTCATGTTTTATTTCATTTATAGAGCCTGGATCTTCGCGAGTCTATTAAAACAAACAAACAACAAATCTCAGGAAAAAAATGATAAATTTGTGGTTGGAGGTGGGAAGCCCGTGATTTCTGCGTGTAACGCGATGTACGTGTGTTGTATATGAGAGGCACACACACGAGCTCACAGATCGGGATCCGCACACCTAGTGCCAAACCAAACACATCTTCCACATACACAAACACGCCGTGACCCACACGTACTTTAATTCCTACCAGCTTTGTCTGTTTTTCTTTTAACTGTTAATATGTCGCAGTGTCTTTGATAAAGTCGAAATCAGCTGCAAGAGGCTGACGTTTTAGAGTTAAGCCCAGCGCCACATTTAGTACGGGGACTAAAACGAAACCCGCGGGGGGCTCTGGCGGCCGGGGAAGAGCAGCCCCGGTGGCTGGGAGCCCCCTGCCCGTCTCCTCAGGCAGAGGAGATGCTGCAGCCGATGTCCCGACCTCTTTGCGGTTTCCCCCAGCAATAACCTGCCCGTCGCTGCTCGCTACCGTCTCCTGCACCACCCGTGAACCATTCGTTAGTTAAAAAGAGCTTTATTGCAAGGGGGCTGAAAACAAAGAATGCCTCTCCCGTGTCTGCGAGCAAACGCGGGAGCCCCTCGTCGGTTTCGGCACACCTTCCTTTCCCGGCAGCGGGCTGGGGAGGACCCCCCGGCTGCCCCGACGGCTTTCAGCGGAGGGGCAAGGCCGGGCCGGCAGCAGCCGCGGTGCCGCGGGGCTGGGAGCCCGGCGCTGCGCCCTGCCCGACACGGCACGGCACAGCACGGCACGGCACAGCGCGGCCCCCCGACGGCTCCCGTCCCCTCGGGGCTGCCCGCCCGCCCCCGTCCCCTGGCAGGGTGCTGCCCTACCACAGCGCCAGCCCCGCTCAGCACCGCCCCGGCATTAATTGCACTTGGCGTGCAACTTACCGCCAGGCAGGTATTAAATAGGCATTTCTATTGTACTGGGGAGCCAGGTGCCGAGCACGCCTGCGAAAGGGAGCGGAAGGGCCGCCAGGCCCGTGCTGTCTGTCATCTCCCCTGGCCACTGGGAGGGCGGCTGGGCCGCCGGGCCGCCCCCGGGGGCGGGCTCGGGTGAGTGATGGGCTGCGGCGCCCTGCCCAGCCCAGCCCTGCCCACGTTGCCCTGAGGTTGAAATGCACAAGTCAAGGCTCTCTCGCCGGGAAGCAGATTGCCTTGTGGCCCTTTTTCCTCGCGCCCCTGCCGCCTCGGTGCTGGAAAGCAGAGAGCCCGGTGGGCTAGGGCGGTCGGCAGCGCGAGAGGCTGGCAGAACGCCTCGGGGCTTAGGGCTCCGCTCGGGATTTAGGGCAGCCTCAGAGGTGTCCTGCTCAAAGGAATGGGTAAGTGGCTGGAAGCTGCAGGAGGGTTCAAGTGCTGTCAAGAGAGAGGGAGCACCCGTGCGCCGTCATGTGCCGCCGCAGCTCCCTTATTGACTTTGCTCGTGTTCCTACAAGTTGTAAGAACGCGCCGAGGGTCAGGAGCAGGGAAAAGAGAAAGCTAATGACTGCTCGGTTTATTATTAATGTTATTAGGCGAGTGCGAGGCAGGATCGCAGGCGAGTGGATGGCTGGAGCCTGTGGCACGTTGTATATTATTCCTGACACCGATCTGAGCAGTTAACATTTTAGCACGTTTATTTTACAGCCTCGTGTAATTGTGCTGTTAAGAGAGAGGCGCTAACAGCACCAGAAATAAGCTTTAAAATGTTCGTCGCGACCAGGCTTTCAGAAGCACCGAGTTGCCCTCGCCTCTCCCAAGATTTAAAAGAATTTCCTCAACTACTTTTCCTTCCTCCCCCTCCCCCACGGCTTTGAAAATGTTTTTATTTTTCTTTTCTTTTTATTTTTTTCACGTTCCTCTTCCTGTGGCAATAAGGCTGACTTGCTTCTTGAGGCGACTTTTCGTCTCTGGAATGTGCTTTTTCAGAATATGCGTGATGCACGATCCGGAGAAATGTGACATTTGTTGCCACGGCTTTTCTTTCTTTCGTTTCTTTTCTTCCACTTTTGTCTCGCCTTCTCCTTTTTTTTTTTTCTTTCTTTTATTATATATATTTTTTTCTTTTTAATTTCGGGGATATTCCGCTATTTGAAAGCAGCGTGAGTGGAGTGTCCGGGGGGTCCCCGAGCTGTGACAACTGCCTTCTGGTGACGAGTCGTTCAGACGCCCCCTTCAGAACCATTGGCCGTGTCCGACGGGTGTGTTTGTGTGTTTGCTTGCAGAACCTGCCTTCGGGGAAGTGAACCAGCTCGGTGGGGTGTTTGTCAACGGGAGACCCCTGCCTAATGCCATCAGGCTCCGGATTGTGGAACTGGCGCAACTGGGTATCAGACCGTGTGACATCAGCCGGCAGCTCCGCGTTTCCCACGGCTGTGTCAGCAAAATCCTGGCTCGCTACAACGAAACCGGCTCCATCCTACCGGGGGCTATCGGAGGCAGCAAGCCTCGGGTCACCACCCCCACGGTGGTAAAACATATCCGGACCTACAAACAAAGGGATCCGGGCATCTTCGCCTGGGAGATCCGGGATCGCCTGCTGGCCGATGGCGTGTGTGACAAGTACAACGTGCCGTCTGTCAGCTCCATCAGCCGCATCCTCCGGAACAAAATCGGGAACCTGTCTCAGCAGAGTCACTACGACTCCTACAAGCAGCACCAGCCGCCCCCACAGCCCGCTCTGCCCTACAACCACATCTACTCCTACCCCAGCCCCATCGCCACTGCGGGAGCCAAGGTGCCCACCCCCCCCGGGGTGCCCGCGATTCCCAGCACCATGGCCATGCCCCGGACGTGGCCGTCGTCCCACTCGGTGACGGATATCTTGGGGATCCGCTCCATCACAGACCAAGGTGAGGAGGGGGGGACGCGGGGCCACAGCGGGACAGGGCCGGAGACTCCGTTCCCCGTCCCCTCCGAGGCTCGGAAAGCGTTTTCGCGGCTTGCCTCGGGAAGCCTCTTGCGTTTTCCCCAGCCCCGAGCTGGGCACCGAACTTACCGGGGGCCGTGCCCTGTGACCGGGGCGCGTCGGAGGTCCGGGTGGGAGCCGCGGACGTACTAGTGAACGGGAAATACCGGCCGTCACCGGTGGCGTTGTGACCCGAAAAGTGTCGACTCCGGCTTTGGGGAACGGCCCCGGGGTGCGGCGGTCCCAGGGCCCGCGTGGTTCCCGGTCCCGGTTGGGACGGGGCTCGCTGCCTCCCTCGGGTCGCAGGCGCCGCCTTGGCGTTAGCGAGCAGTCCATTTTCTCTAGTTTTCGCAATCAGGCCAAATTTGCTCGGGCAGGAAGTTCAAATGTCACCTAATTGCTTTAATTCTGATGCTGTATTTTCCTTCGAAGCGGTGGTCCAGGAAAACGAAACCCCGAAGATTTGCTCATTGTATCCCTTCCACCTTCTTTTTGCTTCTCCGGCTGGAAACTGTGTCATGTCTCCCAGCTGCTCGCTACGCTTTGCCGCAGAGAAAGGGACATTTTTTCCACTCCGGTCTCTGCCAGTGAACTAACAGTGAATGTGGTTAAAACAACAGTCTAAAATAACCTTTGCCTACAGCGATCTCTGTGTCCCACTCTTCCCTCCCAATTAGCGGGGGGGTGGGGGGGTGATTTTTGTTTTCATTGCGTTTTTAAAGGCAGTCGTCCGGTTCCAGCAGCACTTCAAATGCAAAGTGATCCTTTATGTATTGCAGAATAATTATTCTTTCCCCCGAAAGCTGGCGTTTTTTCCAAGCAATACATACTCACATAAGTATGTTTTATTTATACAGACATACGAATTTTTGCCCTTCTTCGCCCTTTGCTTCACGGTACGCTGTTATCCTCAGACCGCGCCGGCACAAACAAATATGTTTCCGAGTCGGCTTTAAAAATACACGTCTGGCAACCTCTGCTCTGTGCTAGGGAGAGGTAGTGTTGGCAATGAACATTAAAGAGAACGAGAACATTACAATCACATGAGAACTGGAGATTTTTAGTGAGTTCCTCTTTTATTAACACCACATTGGCAGGCAGGCCTCTGACAGTACTGCCGGGTGTCTCGGCATCTCCCCCGTCTCTCTCAGACCTCGGAGCTGCACACATCTTTCTGCGGTGTAAAATCTCCCCCCCTCCCTACCCGGCACCGACCTGGGGCTGCTGAGCAGCCGATGCCGCAGATGGGGGCTGCTCGCCCTTGATTTATAGGATAAACTGACCTTGCTGACACGGAAAGGAAGCCCCTATTCATGGGAAAGTGTGAGATCAGCAGAAAAGGGCGCTCACCGAGAGAGCTCAATTTCTTAAGACAACTTCAGATTTGTGCCTTTTCCCCGGCCTCGGCGCGGGGCCGAGCGGGGTGCTGGGGCACGGACGCCTGCTCCCACGGCGGCCCGCAGCCCTGCACCCTCCTGCGGGGCTTGGAGGGGCCGTGACCCCCATCCTCTCCCCCCCCCCACCCCGGCTCCCGGCCGTGCCCCGTATTTCCGTGCGGCAGCTGATGTGCATAAAGGACAGGGCTTTTCTCCCTTTGTCTTCTTTCTTCCCTTTGCTTCATTTTTTCTTGTCTTTATTATTATTAATTTATTATTATTATTTATTTGTTATTATTATTATCGTCTGTGCGTTTTGCTTGGTTATTTGCTTTGTTTTCTTGGGTTTGGTCCCAACCTTGTTTAGAGCCTGGTGCGCTGGGCAGGGCGTTGGGGTTACTTCTCTACCAGGGAAGACGCTTTGCCCTCGGACACGCTCGCACACATACGGGACAAATTAATCCTGGAGACCCCAGGCGGGGACCCGCGCAGCGACACGGGGACGAGCCAGCTCTGGCCTTGGCCGCGGATGCTCTTCCATCAGCTGCACCAGGGGGAGCGGGGAACATCACCGCCCCCCCGCCCGCCTGCTTCTCCGGTATTCCCCCCTCCAGGGGCAGCCGGGAGACCCAGCACGGTACAGGGGGCACCTCTTAGGCCTCCCCTTAGCTCTACCCCCCCGGGGAGCGGGGCCGGGGTTTGCCCGCAGCAAGCCGCCCCTGCCTCTAATCCCCTCTTCCCTCCGTGTTTCCCGCAGTGAGTGACACCTCGTCTTACCCCAGCCCCAAGGTGGAGGAATGGAGCAGCCTGGGCCGAAACAGCTTCCCCCCCGCCGCCCAGCACACCGTGAACGGGCTGGAGAAGAGCTCCCTGGAGCAGGAGGCCAAGTACAGCCAGGTAAAGAGAGAGGGGCGGCCGGGCGGGGGTGATGCTCCGGGCCTCTGAGCTCGGCTCCGGGGCTGCGGCCCCTTCCCGGGACTGCCGCTCCCGGTCTCAGGCCGGTGTCGGCCTTCGCTGGGCGGCTGCTTGGTTTTTTGGGTCGTGAGCCAAAAACTCCGCACGGAGGGGCGACGTCGGGAAAGAGCCTCGCTGCAGCCTCCGCTGCCTCCCCCAGCACAGGCGGCCGCCAGCCCCCCCGGGAGACCCCGGCCCGCCTCTCTCCCGGGTTGTGCAGCGGCCGCCTGGCCCAACCCGCCGAGTAGACATCCGAGAATCGCCGCGCACCGGTCCCCGCCGCGACCGGTCCCGGCCGTGCCGCCCCCGGGGTCTCTGCCCCCCGCCGCGCCGTGCCGAGCCGCCCCCAGGCCAGGTAAAGCCGGGGGCGTCCCAGGGCGCTGCCCACCGCCGCCCTGGTGGCCGCGCTGTACTGGGCGCTGCGCTCGGTAGGCAGGGGAATAATTCGAAAATGAGGTGTAATTGCTTCCTACATTAAGCATTTTTAACCGCTTAAGTAGACTGCGAATTTCCTACATTTTAATTGCAACACAATATAACTGTGACTTAACAAATCTCTGTCTAAATCCTTGTACTTGCTAATCAAATCTCATGCCAGGAGAAAAGCTATAAAAGACTCAACTGTTGCTAGTTGGGAAAGCACAGGCTTTAAAAAAGAAAGAAAGAAAAAAAAAAACATAAAAAAAAAGAACTTTTTCCATCCGATGGAAACATTTCAAAATGTAACACAGGTTTCTCAGAAACGTTGCCTTCCCTGCAATTCATTTGTTATAGCTGTAATGAATTCGAGGAAAAACTGTAATCTCCACTTAGCATGCCACTATTCAAGGACAGAGGCTTTGGACATATTTGCTGAGTTCTGTGCCTGGTTTCGGACTCCACGTTGAGGAGGTTTTTGTATCTCCTGTTTGGTGCTGAGTAGCCGAATCAGACCCTTTCACATTGTTGAGTCCAAAGTCCATGAAGTGCAATGAGGTGAAGGAGGCACAGTTGGACATATCGTAGGCCACAAAGGTGAACAATCACTTTTATATATCCTGCCTTACAAACAATATTCTGCTATTAATGCGTTATACTTGCTTTGTATTATGTTTTTCTATTATCCCATTATTATTTTGTTCATTGTGTATTTCATAAAATATGCACTGCACTCCAGCCATGACTGTGCAGTTAAAGCTAGAATTAGATTTAGAATTAACGTTAATATTCACTCTTCCACAATTTTCTTTAAAAGCAACAACAAAAACAAATCAGAATAATTTGTTAGGAATCTTGCTAAAATTGTGGAAATACCTTGCCATTATTCTGTTGAGGATGGCTGAACCGTGGCTTTCTTGTCTTAAGCGCCAGTCTGGGCCATTCACTTTCCAAATGAATGATTGTACTGAAATAGTCACAGAAAGTGGTTCATAGATTATAAACCTTTGGAATCTCATTTATCTCAACAGGCACGTTGAGAAACAATATCGTGTAAATTAGGTTATTTTCAGTGCTGGAAACTATTTCAGTGTTGGAAACTATTTTTTATCTTTTTTTCACTCTTGCAATATTTATGCTTTCATCTTGATAATATATCACTATTCTATTGTCAATACCAGTTTTGTTTTAAAGTTCTGTTCAATCTGAAAGATTGCCTGATAAATGTAATTTAAACATATTCACTATCTAAAAATGGAGCAAATTTCTATTAATAAAGTGGAATTCATTTATCAAAATACATTGTCCAAAGAGTTTTGAAGGGCATACAAACAAAAAAGCATTTATCGAAAAGGTCATTTTCTAAGATATGCTCATTAAAGAAGATAAAATGGAGATTTCCCCCACAAACAATACGTATTAATAGAATTTGGAAATTTCTGAACTATACACCAATCTATTTATTTAGTATTCAGACTTGCTTACTAGAGAATGTATTCAAAGAAAATTAATGCCAATTAAGGATGTGAAAATGTGATTTTTTTTCAGTTTTTGTTTTCTTATTTTTTTGACAAAAGATTTGTTTCGACAAGGTGCAAAGTGAAATTTATGAACCAAATTCTTGCTACATGTAGAACTGACTTAGCTGTCTGTTCGCTGAAGCACAGGGAACCTGGGGTGACGTTCTGTGACAGTTAAGTCTTGCCAAAGACGCGTCCTTGGATCTTTCCATAGTCTTTCACAACATGTACTGCTTCGGATGTAAATAGATGAGCAGAGGGAAGGAGAGAACATTGGTTCATTTATACAGATCCAGCAAACAGGTAGCTGGAGTGGTGGAAAATGGAGAAGCCATAGCGATAATTTACATGCCAGAAGGATTACAGTGAAATAGGCTGTGCCTTTGGACTTCAGGGTAAAAGTTATTTTCCTCATCTCCTCTGTACAAAGCTCATTGTGAACACTGTGTCTTAAGAAGGCAGACAGCGGATTTCCCCTGGAGAAGAGAAGTGGCTGGTCTGTAATACTTACTCCAGCTTTATATCTGTATAACCAAACTCAGCGGAGCCTACAGCAGGAGTAGAGCAGCAGGGAATCGAGAGAGTGTGTTTTACTTAGGCTTTCCAGTTACACAACAGGAGCAGAGGGAATGTGCTCTGAAAGCACTTTAATGAAGGATTCTGTGGGACCTGTAGGGAATTCTGCTGTTTCTAACTAATATCAGCTATAAATTGTAAGCATCTGCAGCATTCAAGACAGATTCACCTGCCCACAGCTTGCAAGCAGCTCCATAGCTTCTAGGTGGGTGAAGGACTTGCTCCTCCAGCCTTAATCATGGAGGATATTTTACCTCTCAAGAAGGCCCCTGGAAATTCCCTCTGCATGAGCAAGACTAGAAAAATGGAGCCCGAAGAACAAAATGTTCTGTACTTTTAAACCATATACATTTGCACCCTTCTTCTAAGTGAAACGCTTGTTTCAACACATGGGATCCTGTAGCCTTTTGTTCAGGCAGAGCTCCCATTGAACTCCCACACTTGTCAGCCAGGGCTGATCTCAAAAACCAGCTCAAATGGCTGCTTTTCCTCCCCTGCCCCACATGCCAGTGGCAATTCGGTCTGGGAAAGGATTGCGCAAAAGAGGCAGGAAGGCTTTAAATTTTTGCCTCAGCAATATGTAGTCACACTCGTTTAACATGAAACTGAACTGAATGTAGAACATTTTTCACGTTAAGTGTTATTAATTTCCTGGTGTCGCTGGGCCTTTGTTTGCAATGTTGTTTGGTATTTGGGCTTGGGGATTTTGAGAGCTCTGCCTGGCAGTCTGTCATTCTGCACCAAAAACTGCACAGGAAGTCACAGCAATGCCTCGTAAAGCTTCTTTTCAATTTTAATTACCTGATGCCCAAATTGTCATTTCATTGTAAGTAACCGCATTACATTTTCCCACTGCAATACTGCTACACATTTCTCTTGTCATACAGCGTTGCAAACAGAGCAACTGTGAATCAGAGAAAACAAAAAGGAAAATAGATTTTTCTGAGAGCTTGACAGTTTTAGGTCATACATGTTTCATACAGAGCTCAGTTACATTCCACTATTTATACTGAGAGGCCCATTCAATGTGGTGTTGGGGGGAAGGCTTTCATGGGTAATTATATTATTAACACAAAGAATGAATATTCTGAGCATTTTATGCATTAAGCAGCTTATACTAATGGGTGCATTTGAAAAACAAATATCAGCTGAAATCACTGGAATTCACAGCCGTTTGTACCCTGCATTTGAAATGACACTATTTAATAAGTATGTATCATATTTAAAATGCAGTTTTCAGCCATCTTGTACTTGTGACTTGTTGGACTAACCTCAGGGACATGTAAAGTGAAAGAACTGCAGTTTGTACTTGCACATGTATGAAAATACAGAAGATCTGGCATATGCCTATACAATTTGTTGAGAAGCAAATGGCTTTGGAAATATTTTTTCTCAGAATTATTTTTTTTGTGTGCCTTGCAGGAAGTAGATGCGCACATTGCCAAAGGGAGCTGATACTCATTAACAGAAATATGTTTGTAACTGGGATCTAAGAGCAAGTGGTTGTTGCAAGCTTGCTTATGGAAAGGCTGAGCTGTTAGGAGGCCCAAAACCAAACCTACTGGAGTTGCTGAAAACACTCGTCTTAATTAAAAGGGGTTTGTGAACATGCCTCAGGTGACATCTTCCTCTGACATACTGGGCAGACCCCAAGTAGCAACCCCTTCACCTCTGCCTCAGCAAAACTTCCTCAGCTGTTACTGCCTTGACTTTTCAGCTTGCTGGGATAGTGCCTCTTGTTCTTCAGTTGTGTTCTGATTAGGCGATCATGAGCTCCATGTGCTTGCAGCATAAAAAAGAAGGCTCCATTTTAGGGCAAGCAATTGAAAATAATTGTGGGTGCAATTCTGGACAACTATTTACATAGAAAGTATAGGCAATGTAAATATTTATTTTATTTTCCTGATCTTTGACTGTAGATGACCAATGAACTATATATGTGGTGGCCAAAGCATTTGTAATTGTTTTTATTTACACTACTTAGAACCTGTGGCATATAATTACTTCTTTGGGAGCAAGATGACACTGTAACTTTAAATGTTATGGCCAGTTACATGACCGTTCTACACAGATTATTTATGGCAAAATTTCATTTGCAGATTGCTTGTTTGGCATCTTATTTTCTAACTCAGGATTCAGAGATTTGGACTCTTATTATGGATAAGTGTAAAATCCATAAGGTTAAAGGTCTAGACTGCCTGCTCCCAATCCATACCCAGGGAAGGGGCTGGTATTAAGGAGAGGGAAATATTAGTTTCCCTGACGTATGACCGAGAATTGTAAGCAGAGTTCCTGTCTGGTGCAAGGGTTCTCACCTTGTCTTGGAGACTCAGGTTCTGTCTTATTGTCTCCAGACCAGTGCCTATTATTAAAATATTTTTACTTAAGGTGGCTTGTTTGAGGTCTAGGCATCCATGTCAATGCATGTTG